TTGTTCCATTGATTTAATCCCGATATCGATCATCAGTCTCTGTATATTTTGATTAATTTTGTTAATCGGTGACTAGGAGTAGCTTCTTGGATTACAGAGAATCTAGGAAGTTTCTAGAAAGGTGGACCTATAATTCGAAAGAACGCTGACCACATATGAGATTAGGACTAGCTCGAAGGCTAGAGCTGAAAGAAATCGTAAAAATGTGTTATAAATAATGATCTGCCGGATCCCTAGCTAGATAGGTGACAGGTATCCATTTCAGTGCCCAGAAGCCAAAGACCTCTTTACAAACCTGGTCTTCCGTAACCCTACGAAACCTATGGAAACTGATAAAAATCTGAGGAGTGCTTCCTATTCCATCAACTCCAGCCTCACCAGTAGCCTTTATCTCAAATAGGAATAGGAATAAATCTCTGATGGAATAGATCTCGTATAATTGCTCTGTCCTGGTATAGCAAAGCCAGCAAATGCTCAGGAGAAGGTTCAGTTCGCTGATAAGTGATCCAATAAGTGATTCACAGGTGGATCAGTGAACTGTGACCACGTAGGCAACGATATCACGCAATTGCTAGAAGTAACCATGGAAAATCGTAACCATGAACCTCCTCTTAGCGATTGCCACCCCGTTTACCGCTCGAAATGTAACTCTCGTCCATTACATTAGACGGAAGGCGTGTTTACACGGTGTGAGAGGCGTCTCGGCTTCGGGACGGACCAATCGATGATTTCTCGAGAGTCATTAACTCATATAACGAATGATACTGGGAGCGGCGTTTACTGAGCCGCGAGATACCGCCATGCTTTTGCACACGCTTGTCAGTCGCGGTTGCTGCAAGGAATCGCGAATAGTTTCGCGATTCGAGAACGGACAGCCGTTCGTTCATTTCATTCGCGAGGAAAATTTATTGGGTTTCTTGAGATATTCCATTCCTGTTTGGATATTAATAAACTATCTGCGCGAGTGGCAGAGGTCATTGGAAAGTAAGTTAACCGCTTGATGCGATAGGGATCGTTGGGAAAACCTCGGTAAGAGTTACTAAGCTCAGGTTTGTATCGCATAGGTTCATTTCCAGGGATGTGTATCGAGAATACTACCTCCCTAGCATTCGCAGCGAAGGCTACACGATCTCTAGCGTTAGTTCTATGCATTTCTTCTTAGGCTTTCCGTCCTACCTTATTTATAATATAACCATGATATAGTCAGGTATATAACATGCTTTATATCTCTTTTCCTGTGACAATTCTTCGTGTAATCAGCAAAGTAATTACTCTGGATAGTTCGTAAAAGTGAAACGAAGATTAGGAACGAGAGATATTGGGAGTACTACTGTGCTAGGCCGCCATGTTGGCTCAACAGCGCCACCTTGGTTTACCCGTGCATTTCTTTTTTCCTATGAAAATTTTTCATGTAATTAGGAACGTAGTAACTCTGAATAGTTCGTAAAGGTGAAACAAAGATTAGAAATGGGAGATATTGGGAGTACTACTGTGCTAGGCCGCCATGTTGGCTCAACAGCGCCACCGCGGTCTACCAGGAACTAAACGCAAGCGGAAGACCATAGCTTTGTTCAGACCTTTCATGGAAAAGTGCGCCTATATTGGGTCGTGTTATATAATTCGTTCGATTTCTTCCATATTGCGTACTCGATTTTATTGGCACCCGATCATTCAATAGCAGTGGCCGCTGGAAAAATCTTATCGAAAAACGGCAAGCGACGTTTTCATCGCGCTTTGATCGTTTTAAGTATCAGAGATGACGCTGCGATAGAATTCAAACGCACGGTCAAATGCATATCGCAGTCCGATGCAGTGGCACTTTTTGACGTAAAATCTGAACAGCCTGATCGCGTTGCATGCCACTCAAACGATTAATCCGATAGAGATAACTGGTTATGAACGTTCCTAGGTCAGACCGAGTTTAAGATCTGCTTTATGCGAGTTGCTCGATCGAGATCAGGGCGAGGAAAGCGTAGATCTATCTTTGGCTTTGGAATTCAATTTTCTTTGACTTTAACCTTTTTATTTCTCGATTGCTACGAATATTTCATTTATTTCAACCTTCTTAAATGCTATTATCCTTTTCTTTAATCGTTAAGCTATCGTCTGGTATTCGATCGTATCGAGATGAATTTTAACTTTTAAATAAATCATTTATTAACTACAATAATTAATAGTGTCAATCCATCTTTAATTACTGATTCAGCCACAAAATAACCATATTTTTAATACGAAATGATAATGCACTCACTATTTTGACCTATAATAAATAATTCCAATAATATACCTGACTATATTTAATAAATTCTTACAAAATGGCGTCACACTAATAAAATATAAAATCACTCATCCACCACTGCAATAAAAGACACAATTTCAGAAGAGATTCCAAAAAGAGAAAAAACAAGGAAAAAAGAAAATTCCTCTTATTTCATCGATTGAGATAACTAAAATAAAAATCGATACTCCACGTTATTGGAGAACCCTCTCGCCATCGTTGACGAACAGAAAATACGAAAAATCAGTGAAAATCGAGTTCAGAAGCTTATTCAAAGGAGGATGTTTGCAGCACTGAAAGGTGAACGCATCACTTCGGTAGGTCAGTGCATGTCAGACACGAACGTAATTGGTATCTATCGGAAACACGTCAAGATAAGATATCGGCTCGTAGCCTTATCTTACCTGTGTGACGAAACGTGGTAGTCTTTTTTTAACCGAAACGCCGGCGTTTAACTCTGGCCTCGTTACTTTTATCGGCAAATCTTAAAGATCGATCCAGTCTAGCGCAACGTGCCGCCGCGATCGTGTCTCCTCCTCGATATTAACAAGTACACCGTGCTATCTTCGCGATACGTCTTCAGTCACCCGGCAAGATCCGCTGGAATAATTGTGGAAAAAAAATAATCCAAATAAAATTCCTCCTCGTTTCGCGAAGCTTTGATCAACGCGAGATCGCGTTATGCGTTGAGCTCACAGTATACAAGGTACATAGATTTCCTGCTACGAATTTCCTGTATAAATTGGAAATTAAAGTGTTCAGGGTAATACCCTCTGCCAGTGGAATTTGAATCGAATTTGAATCGAGTGTGGTTTTAAATTAATCATCCATGGGGATTTATTTTATCGAAAATTCTCCCGTTACGAGTTGTCCTGTCAGTGAGAGAAATAAAGGAGAGAAGCGTAACACTTTAGGCTAATGTTTCGTTATCGAGATTAAATCTTGATCGAACTTTCCAAGTCGTTCAATTTCCAACCATTAATACACCAATTTTCTCACGTCTGTTCCTTTTATGTATGCATATGATACGGGCCAGAATAAGCAACTCGATTTTTTGAAATTTAATCATGAAAACGATAGGTTTTACTAATAGCAGGTTGATCCTTTTAACTCTTTGTAGCATGGGATTTCAAATAATAACATAGATACATGTTGCATAGAAATTTTATCGCGTTTTAACCACTTGCTTTGGAAAGACGTGTCACGCACGTTGTAATGCTTTCGTCGCAGAATCGCCAACGACGTGGTATACACGTTGTTAGGCAATTGTCACAGAAACACTGGACTGTTCTGGCACACGCGTCTGTGAGTTTATTGGTAGTTTATTGGTAAGGTTAAATGAAACAAAATTGGTATATTTTTACTAATAAAGGAATCGCGTAGTGTACAAATATAAATCCAGGAAAGAAAGATTGTCACGGTAAACCTTCCACTTGCAACAATAGATGAACCTGTACTGACATATTGAATGTTACCAACACGAGTGAATACTTTTATAACATTTGTTGAAGGTATTACCAACTACTGTATTTTAATATTACGAGTTGGGACTAAAAATGTCCTATGCATTACGGTGCATCAAAAAGGTGGGATACTTTTGATCACAGCGTGCCCCAAAGAGTTAACTTCTTGCACTTGAGAGGTAATTCTCAGTCGTCATTTATCGGTGTTAATTAATATATCGAATTTAAAATTGCCCAAAATAATTCCACGTTTTAATTTGCTTACGATTTCTTATTTACGGTTTTAAAAATCTCGTCGACTATATAACAGAAAGTCTTCGAATTACTATTTTTCTTTAACGAAAAGATCGTCGAGTGCAAAGGGTTAACTCTTCTATTTGAAATAAATTTTTATTTTCTACGGAGTCAATCGATTTGTGACAAGTGAACGGGTTCGTATAATCGTGACAAAGGTATTTGCTAATTTTTTATTTTATATTTTATATTTTTAACACGTTGACTGCCATCGGGGTCACCGGTGACCGGCACTCGACTTCGCTAGAGCGCCGTGGGGGCCACCGGTGACCGGCAACGCGACCATTAATAAAAATACATAATTAGAGTAAATATCGATACTGATAAATTTTTAAATAGTACCATTGTTACTATAATGGTTCGAAGAAATTAATGCCATACAGAACATGCGAAAATAATTTTATTTATACAAAGAAAAGGTGAACCAAAACAGTCGGCACAATATGTCGCCACTTTTTTAGTGCAATTCTTTGCTCTCATTCTTCCTAGCTGATTTGAATTATTTTCATAGCGCACTTTGCAAAATCGCCTTACATTTCGCACACTTCCAGGTTTCTTTTTAAATTCGCGACGACGTTTTTTCTGTACGTAATTGCTCGATGAAATGCAATCTTCGTCATCGGAACATTTCACTAAATACATCGCTAACTTCATCCTAAAATCGGGAATTGAAATATTTTTTCGAGTTACTTTTTAAACAATTGATAATGTCAAAAATGGTCTACAGCGCCGCGGGGGTCACCGGTGACCCCCGCCACGAAAAATACATTAAACGCGATTATACGACTCACCTTATCTGTTGTAAATAATATTTCAACATAAAATGCATCGCATAATAAAATATTCATGTTGACGCCATGGACAAACCACGTAAAATGCGCGTGGCAGTCAACGTGTTAATATAAAAATTCGTGGTGTGTGTATGTGTAATAAAAAGGATATTCTGTTGACAGATCGGCGCAGGAGCCATGTCACCGGATCGGCACAACGGATCGCGAGAAATCGACGTAGAACCGGGAGAATCGGATCAGCTGCCAGATACCTTCCGGACCAAGTGAGATCTAGAGATCGTCGGGGAATAATCGGGGATCGACACGCGTGATCGGTCCAACAGCTTGCAACCTACGGCCTCCCCGCTGGCCTGGCCAGCTACTATGCGAATTGAAGCTCTCAGTACCCTCGTCGCGGTGAGTTTGCCTATCGAAAACCTTTACACGCGACAGATATCGACTCTCCTATGATCGATAGATCCGGTTTTGCATTTGAACGTTGTAGCGATCTTTTCGCGTGATTGATTCGTTTCTAATGCGTATGGGAAAAAGAACGTGACATAGGTCGTATTTCACCGAAGAATTCGCTGTGTCTATGTAGAAAAATTACGTTAAAAGGTTCTGCTTTATTAATCTCGCGCAATTTAATTTTGGGGGGTAGCGATAATAACGAAAAGTCGTTTTAAGATAAATTATATTTGGTGTGGAGGATCTATGGGGTTGAGAAGCAGTGAAGGTATTGGAATTTATTACGTTAAATATTCAGATCAGATATAACGAGATATCATTATGATAAATTCCTTCGAATGGCAATTTATTATTCAACTATGAAACGTGACATGAAAATTCGTCAAATTACTCCTTTAACAGGTACAAAAATGATCGGAAATACTAATCTACTACAGATCTATATTATACCCTAATTTATATCTCAAGGTACTCACGACAAATTTAAAGTCAAATTACTGTAATGAATTTTTCTTTATAAGACATATATTGTTCCACCTTAATCTTTTCGTAACAAATATCAAATATCGCACAGAATAATAAATATTTATTTTCTTTCTTTCTCAGAGTAAAATTTATACTATATTTTTAAGACGAATTATATTTAAAAATTAGTGGCTAAAAATTCTTCAGATATTCAGAGACATAAGATTCCAAAATGCCAAACAATATGTAAAATATGATAAGAAATTTTTTCTCTTGAAATCAATTGTGGAACAGGACATAACATTTGCTCGAATGATACTTTTGACACATACAAAGAATTCAGATTTCTTAATATCAAAAAATTTCACAAATTTAAATTCAAATCGCTGTATATTAAATTCTCCCGTATATCGTTTTATGCTAAATCTATATTATTATTACCAATGCGTTGGGTTCAATCTTAACCCTTTGCACTCGACGATTTTCTTGTTACAGGAAAATAATAATTCGAAGACTTTCTGCCATAAGGTCGACGATATTTTTAAAACGATAAATAAGAAATCGTATGCAATTTAAGACGTAGAATTATTTTACTTTGATATTGCATACATTGTTGGGTCATTGTAAATTTAACACTAGGTTTACGGACGCTATACCTATTTCTACGTACTCCTGTCAAATTGATAGGTAAAGGAAACCACGTGACTATTCTTTTTTTAACGATTAGTTTAATTTAAAAATAATTACAATATTTACAGTTTTAATATAAATTAACTAACCAATAATTAACCCATCCTTCAAATTGACAGGTTCCGTAAATCTAGTGTTAATATATTAATTAACATCCGTGTTTAAAATTTGATTAAATGGCGACTGAGAGTGCAAAGGGTTAACATATTATTAATCGGTGACGAGTTAACTCGTCTTTCCCTGCTCAAACGTTGTTGACCACTTGCACTATCCATTTCAATTTATGAAACCCAAATCAATATAGAATATTGCGTGCGAAAGTGATTTTGAAGATTGAATTACAAAATAATAGCCGACATGTGACATGACATAGTTTCTGTGTAAAATTGCTGGTTGAACAAACTGTTAACCCTTTGCGCTCGACGACTTTTTGGCTAAAGAAGGGTACGAGTTGAAAAATTTTCTACTTATAAGGCTGATGATATTTTTTGAGCAGTAAATTAGAAATCGTATAATAATTAACACGCAGAATTATTTGACTTCGATACCTTACACACTGTTTTATTGTTTTAAATTTGATATATTAATTAATATCGAGCTTCGAAATTTTATCAAATGGCGACTGAAGGGCGCCTCTCGAGTGCAAAGGGTTAACAGTATCAAACATCCCAGAATATCTCTGATAGAATTTTGGAATTCAGTGAAGTTAAAAAGGAAGGAACACTAATTATAGAAAGGCAAAGATTTAATAATTGGTAACTCGATCGGTGTGTGCTGTGCAACGATTGCTTAGAGACTGATTCTGTAGCGTCCTCCGGTATCGAATCTCTTCGATTTCCAAGAACGCTTATCACGCGCCAAATTAATATTACGTGACTAGTTGTGATAATAAGGATCCAGAATGCGTGTGGTCAAAAGAGAGTGTTTATTTACAGAAAAGCGTAGAATAGTTATAACTTAGATGTTAACGGAGTACCGTTTCGAACACGCGTTTGTATGTGTAATTGAGATGTTTTAAGGATCGGTGTCGAAGACGAACTGACTTCTCGATTTTGCTCTATGTCCTGTCTCGTCGTGTTCGGTCCGGTGTTTTCTCTAGTTTAGTTCTGATTGGGTAAAATAGATGTTGGTGGTGGAAAGGTAAAGAGTTTTAATTGGACAGAGGGTGTGACATAAGGACCTTTGGCTAAGGAGTAGGAAACTGTCAAGGAGCCGATTTCTGATGGTCAATGACGTGATTTATAAGTGCCGTCCGTCCGTCGCTTGTTGGGTCTGTCACAAGTGGGTCCCATCTGTCGCGTCTGGTACCAGTAAAATTCCTAATTTTGCTTTACCTTTATAAGCTTAATCCGCTAGAACGGCGTTGAGGCACATCGAACCTCCGGAATTGCAGTCGCGGTATAAAATATAAAATAAACCGTTAGGTCTGTTAAAAGTGTAAGCCTTAGAATAAAATTATGTTATAAACACGCTCTCCGAGACGGAACAGGGTGTTTAACGCAGAAAGAACAAATGATTACGGCAAATCCTTTTGTCCAAATGTCTGTAGAATGATTGAGAGAGAAAGCGTGTGTATAAAATGAGATAAATCTGGCTTTAAATAGGGATACAAGGGCGCGGGGCGGACAGAAGGGGTGTAGTTGAGACGTTGAGTGTTATAATTGAGAGGAACCTGGTGTATGATGTCAATTAAATAAACTTCTTTTGCTATTAAAGAGAGTTGTTCTTTATCAGACACGCTCTCCGGGACGGAACAGATTCGTTTGAACAAAGGAATTTGGCTGGCGACCGACGCGTACATAAACATACATTAGTATGTAATAATCAAAAACATTTTAACATCGACGTTATATGTAAGATGTCTCGACTTATGTCATTAGCATTCCAACAATCTCTGAGAAATTTCCCAATTTAATTCCTCTTCATCAACCGCTCTCGCGCAACGCATGCGTGTTCGCAAAGCTTCGCGGTTTTGTTGGCAAAACAATGCCACGTTTATTGGGCCGGCAGGTGTTAAAATAACGCCCGCATAAATCTGGCTTACCGCGACAATAAGTAATCCTGGACACGTGTTCGTCGGTGTCGTATAACCCGCACACGAGCACGCACGATAACCGCGATAACTATCCGGATTTAAATCATCGTGCACGGAGAGTGGGTGTAATTACCGTACTATTCTCACGTGCTTTCGAACGACGTTACAGCCCACAGGAATTGCACGGTTGAAATTTATTCCGCGTCTTTGAATTTCAACTCTCGTTCCCGCCGCCAGGTCGGACAATTTCTTTCGATTATTCCCCAGTCCGTCCTCTTCCCTCTCAGTCTCACCGTTCATCTCGCTGTCGGACGTCTTTGAGGTTACTTTATCATCATTTTTCCCCGCGGACAGGCTGGCCAACGGCTGGATCCCTAACGACGAAAATTCCCTTCCCACGCGATCATCGCCGACGAGATATTTTCCCCGGTGCCTCTTTTACGAGCCGTTGGGAAATATTCCAACTCCCCGGATAAATAAAACCCGTTACGATCTGATAAATCAACGTCTTTGTTGCGTTCTCTCCCGTACGCGCCATTATGCCACATTATGCCCCTCGCGAACGTGTTGACAAAATTCATGGCGTTACATTGTAGATACCGGGCGATGATAAATCAGCGAAAAATCATGGTTCCATTACGAATCTCAACGCGTGTCGAATGAAGCTAAGAGTCCAACCGTGACTACAGCAGTCGAATTACCCGCAACTTATCTGCAACTTGTAGCTAAATATATCGTATATGCACGATAATAATAGTAGGCGCCTTGTATGTAAATATGCATAATATTAAACCTACCGCCGTTTAAATGACCGTTCTTAAACGTTTCGTTTAAAATTCTATGTTCAACCCGATCGCTTTGCTCGCTAATTTCCGCCATTTTTCTCCTGCCACACGTATAATCAATTTTCCTATATCTCTTCTCATTCTATTTTCTTCGAACTTTTTCCTTCCTCCTTTTTTCCCCATTTAACAGGTATTCGACTGGTCGTGGTAAATTTAGCGGTAATCGGGTTTCCAACAAATTTGCAGAATTCATAAATTGGCACATAAAAAGGTACATATATGTATAATCGATTTTTCCATATCTGTTTTTATTTCGTTTCTTCTTTTTTCGTCTATCAGTCAACCAGTCAACTGGTTGTGGTAGATTTAGCTTTAATCAAATTTTAAGAGAATTTCAAAAATTTCTGAAATTAGAAAATCGACAGATAAAAGGATATATATACCTATAACCAATTTTCCCATATCTTTTCTTATTCCATTTCTCTCTAGATTTTTCTTCTTTTTCTTCTTTCATCTATCAGTGATTCGACTGGTCGTGGTAGATTTAACTTTAGTCAAATTTCGAGAGAATTTCAAAAATTTCTGAAATTAGAAAATCGACAGGTAAAAGGATATATATACCTATAACCAATTTTCCCATATCTTCTCTTATTCCATTTCTCTCTAGATTTTTCTTCTTTTTCTTCTTTCATCTATCAGTGATTCGACTGGTCCTGGTAGATTTAGCTCCTGTCAAATTTCGAGAAAATTTCAGAAATTATAAAATTGGCAGGTAAAAGAAAAATTCAAGTATTCGAATATCCGAGGTATTCGAAAGAAAGTACTCCATTGGTAATTTTGGTGTTAACACTAAAGCAGGGTCAAATGACCCTTTTCAAAATTTACTTTATAATTGTACATTTGTTGTTATTTTATCTGTAAATTCGTATATTATCTGATTGTTTAATTTCTCGCTTTCCGTTTTTCTCTTAACT